CCAAGCCAAGAAGAAAAAGTGCCGTCGCAGCACTGGGTCTCAAACGAACAACTTCATCACCCTCAGCAGCGAGTTCAAAAAGGCGGTCGCTACCGAACGACACTACCACTCCCTTTGATGATGACGAGGAACTAGATGATACCGGTGTGATAGCCTCTCTTTCCGATGACCTAAACTTTCGCGATGTCCCACAGTACATGGAGTTCATCCGCAACAGGATGTTTAGCGACATGCCAGAGAAGGCCGGTATGAACTCGACCAGAATAGCAGAGGTTCTGAATTTCCGAAGAAGATTGCCACCGTTTGTCACGGTGGCGCATATCGACGCACTCAGCACCTCGTCAACGCGCATTGAGCGCGAAATCGCAGAGCTAGCGAGAGCAGGTATCCTGAGAAGGGTGAGGATTCCAAATCGGGGGGTTGGTGCTGCTGCAGTGGGTGATGGTATTGCTTCGGTGAGAGAGTGGCAGAACCTCGTGCAATCTCATGCTGAGCTACCTGAAGATCTGAAAGGTAATCAAATTTACCAATTACTATATCACCTTTCATTAACGTAGAATCAGAAAAATACACAACAGCCATGAACGCCAACCCGACATCTGCATCCATCCCCGGCACAACCTTCACCTCTCCCCAGCTATCCGCCCTAGTAACCTTTGGCTTCCTCACCTCAGCCTCAAGCTACCCTTCCAACACCTCGCTTTTCGCCTCTCCAGGCGCCAGCTCACTCCTCGCCGTCTCCACATCCGGATCCCGCCATGCAGCCGGTTCTCTAGACGCCGTCGGCGGCACGCAAGCAACTCAGCACATCCACGGCGGCACTTCATTATCCGGATCCCGCCCATCCGTAGCAGCACAGTACAACTTCTCTCTGCCTAATATGGGCACACACATCAAGCTGCTGGTTGATGCACGGAACCACCTACTCACTCTGCTGAAGAAGACAAAGCATAGAGAGATGCCACTAGATGTTCTGCGTGAGAGATGGGACGGTAATGTCGCGGCGCATGATATCAAAGCGGAGAGGAAGAAGTTGAGGGGCGAGTTTGCAGGCGTACTACCTGGGCGAACGAAGAAATGGAAGACATTCTATGGAATGAGATTTGAGTGGGTCTTGGAGGAATGTCTAGGTGCTGGCTTAGTTGAACTCTTTGAGACCGGTAGCGTTGGTAGAGCTGTGCGAGCGATATCTTGACTTGCACTCGCTTTCTCGTGCTGTTTCGCAGCCAGACCTGCTGCACGTCCAATCGTTATCAGCTCAGGTGGACTCAAGGATCGATATCCCACATTCCTCCACGCGTACGACCCAACGTCGATCAGTATACTTGAAACATAAAGTGGGACTGATGACGCATACCAACACACCGTTAAGCGCAAGGGATGCCAGCATCAGTTTGGTCAATTATTCATTTCTTTGTACAATGCTGCACTAAACTGCCCTGTTATCTGCAATTTGTCTTGGTACATGTTTGATACCAAAGCTGCTGACCTCCATCCTGCGTGATATGCTTCATAAACTCCTAACCCCTGCTGCACTGATGTAGCCTCATCGCGTGAGCATGACAATCTGGTTTCGTTCATTCATCGTGACCGGACGCCTGAACTGATGGAACATGAGATACGAGTTCGATATAATCAGGTGAAGACGCCATAAAGTCCACATCGTGGAATGCAATCTGCCCAAGTTGGCAGAGAAAGACGTTGGTAGAACGATCGTAGTGCATGCTTCCAGTAGTGATAGTTGCACATGACGATGCTTTCCGAGTTATGATGGTGCCAGGTGCAGTAATCGCCGTTACGTGCCTGGTTTCCACGAAAGCTGTCTTTATAATCCTTCGATCGCTCATGGCCATGAGCGATACGAAGGCCTGGTATAAGGTTGTTCTGGAGTATGAAAGTTTCCGTTTCGTAGGCGGTAGAGTACTGATACACGATTGTGAAGGAGTCTGACGTCTCATCTATGAGGTAGATGTCCTATAGATCGCGGAGATTAGCCACTACAAAGCAAGAATGTGAACGGGATCACCTACCGGAGATCGAAATGTCAAGTCACGTAGAGAAGCTAGTCCATGTAGAAATCGCCCTTGAGGATCCGCTCCTGCATGGCATCAGGCACCCTAGGCTTGGGCATCTCACGAACGGGTGGCTCCATGATCGTAACGCTCTTAGCACGCTGGTGCGTCGGACCGGAAGGGCTCAGCATGGGAGGGGGCCCGGAGATGGAGCCTCGCTCGGCTCGCGATCGGAGGTTCTCAGCGAAATTGTAACCTTCGCCTGTTGAAGACGACGTTAGCGAGTAGTTTCCAAGTATGTTCTCGGACTGCTCTGCAATGGTGGAGGGCCAGATGTGTGATATGGAAGTAGATCGCCGCGAGTGTGCATGGGTAAAGGGACGAAGCAGGGTAGCGGAAGAGGGCAATGACTGTGACAATGAAGACAGACCTCGACCTCGACCAGTCGGGGGAGAGGAAGCTTTATGGATGGGTGGTCTACCATTTGGGTTCCCAACGCCTCCGTTGCTCTGCCTAACATCCCGCATTGCACGAGCTCCGAAGCTCAGCCGTCGAGCAAAGGGTGTGGCTGGGTTGCTGCTGCTAGCAGATGTGGAAGGGGCGTAGTCATCTTCGAAGGGGCTCTCGTCGACCGAGCCAGAGTTGGCGCTGGAGATGCTCTCGGTTCGGGTTCGCGGGGTCTGGAGGAATGGGGACGTCTGGCCAGGTGAAGCACCCAGACCGATGGTGGTGAGCGAAAGCCGCCGTCTCTGAGCGTTGGCAGCAGCTGTCGTGATGGGGCCCGTGGCAGCCTGTCCTCCGGATTGTTGGCCTACATAGCCGCTTGACCGGCCGAACAGGTCCTGGAACGTCTGGCTGGTTACTGAAGCACGTCGGCGAGGGTCCGGCGAGGCGAGCGGGGGAGAGTTCCGGCCGTTGGAGGACATGATGGGCGTGGCAACGAGGTTTAAGAGAGGTTCAGAGTCTGTATGAAGTGCTCAATTGAGTTGAGGGGTCGTGCGCGTAGAGCAAATCAAGATGGGGTGCGTAGAGAAACAAAACAAGGGGTGGGATGGTTGATAAGTCGCTAGGCGCACGGACGGGGTGTAGTACGTCAGTCAGCGGGGGTTGATGGCGTGATAAGCGATTTACGTTGGCCGCAGGGAAACCGCGTAGTATAAGATAGACTAGCAGAACACGTGTCCGATGTTGCAACAAGACAAGAGAAGAAGGTCGAAAAGAAGAGGAGCAGGAATGATAGACAGGAGAGTAATATGGAAGCAACACTGGGTGGCTTGGCTGCGCTTGCCAAAGGATGCCCATCTGCGCTAGGGCCGTGAGAGGCTTAGCGTCAATCCCTTCCCCGCAGAACGTGGATGCACGATGCGTGGCCCTTTCATCTGACATCCAACCACATTCAAGGGCAACTCGAGCCTAGCCGCTGCACTCCCCGCAGTCGAGCCCTTTGACCCACCCTCAGTGCCCACAACGACTATCGCGATCAGCACCGACACGGTAAGTTCCTAGCTAGCATGAGCTTGGTATGAGCTATCTCGCCACCTGGGTGCTTCACATATTTGAGTCTATGTGTACATAGTCATGGCACTTGCTCTGCACAGATCGAACCGACGGCGCCTACATCATGTCCGCATCTGTTCGGAATCTTCCCGGAGCGGGTGTCTGCTACATGCAACCGCCTTCTGTGGGGTGCCGGGTCCTGGATGCAGGTCCAGGTTGTGCGGAGCCTGCGGAACTTCTGACAAAAGCAGCCTCCATAAGACGTCGCATACTGCGGGGAATATAGAGTAAGCGTCATATGCGCCATTCCAGTGAGCGCGAGCAGAAGGGGAAGGTTTGTCGCTAGTTTGTGGATTTCTTGATTCCTACACCGGAGCAACACCCACCATCTCGAAGCCCAAATGCACGCAACATGAACGACACCCACTTGGGCCACATCGTGTGTAGGCCAGATGGGTTCCACGAACTTAGCGTTTGGATAAGCGGCTAGTTACACGTATAGATGACAGAGTCGTTGTACGACATGTAACTGGGCCATGCATGATTGGCTGCTGTGGACCTCCGGTGCCGACCTGTTGTCTTGTATGCGACAAGATGCAGACTCCCGACATCCACACCGAGATGAAGCTTGGTCTAGCACTTAGTGTTGTAGATACATGGATCTCATGGTGCATGGGGACAGTCTGTCTCTGGCGCTTGACCAAGCGCGAGAGCCTACAGCATGCGAAGCTCAGCTACGAACTGCACCAGATCCACTTCGTTCGGTCCGGTCTCGTCTTGAGTCAGTCAGCCGTCGGCCACGCTCCCAATTCCGCGGAATCTTTCTACATATCGGAGCTTGGCACTGTATGCATGCGGAGCCGGTATCAGCTGAGGCCTGCAGTCTAGGGGGCGCACTCCACCGCTTTTGTGTTTACTATGCTAAAACCAATCACGCATTGACCTTTCAATTTCAGTGAGCTCGTTCTACTTCGCACTATGCGGACGATGATGGATTTGCAGCGTACGGCGCCAACGATGGACCGCTGTATAAATGTGGTTGTGTAAATTATGGATACAAGGAGTGTAGAGAAGAGAAAGTGGTACACAAATTGTACCCGGCTAAAAGTACGGCAAGATCAAAAGCTCCGCAAGCAACCGGTCAAAGAAAAGGCAAAGGAAAGAATCGGAGATATATAGAATCATTCGGTTACCCAAAAACCGAAATCGGGTGGCCTGAAGGAAAGACAGAAAGCAACATAACAAAGGCCAGCGAATACAGACCGAAGTCCGGCGACCTTGAGTATCCAAATGAAGAATTCAACTAGCGTGCGGACAGCCGTAACGTCGTAAGGAAAGACATGAAGGTATTAAAAGGTGCAAAAAGTCACAGAGAAAGGAATGGAAAAAGTGCAAAAAGCCGCCAACGCCAGACCAAAAGGAAAAGTGGGACGACTACATACCAACTCAACTGTTGTGTTGAGCACGAGGTAGTCCGCTTGCAGATCGACATTACTGCATTGCTCGCTTCGATTCTCGTTCGTGTACCTCCGAACCCGACCTCTTGCGATTCTCGTAGACGACATTGCGGAAGAGAGCCATGTAATGAGTCGGCGCATGAGAATCTGCTAGCTTGCGTTCGATGTCTTGTAGCATTGCCCAATGATTACGGTATACGTCTTCCTGGGGCAATGACCCGAGTGCATCGAGAACAAATGGCGGGTCGTCATCTGATGCTGCTCCAATCAGCGCAACGTATAGGTTGCTTTGAACAGGGTCTGATAGGGCCTCCATGACACTCCACTTGACGCCTTCATATGCATTCTTATCGCGGTCCGTAACACGGTCGAGAATCGTAACAAGTGCCGCCGCTGCTCGGACGGCCACGTCCTCGACGTGAGCATGGCGTTCATAGAAGTCATCAATGGCTTTGACTAGTGATGTCAACTTCTGTGCACAGCTGGAGACGTCGAACCGAGGGGGGCCTTGGGAGAGGTTGTATGGTCCCTTGGCTATGTACTCATCCAAAGCGTCGAAAGTGGAAGTAATGCGCTTGTCGATCTTTTCGAAGAAGACGCGGCTTTCGAAGTCCGGGTCGATGATCTTGCGCATTTGGAGATATAGGCTGGGATACCAGTTTGCGTACTGCGTAAAGAGCTCTGTCAACTCCTGGTACTTCTTGGACCGTTCGGAAGTAAGAGGCGACTCGGGATATCGAAACTCTCCAGGAAGTGCATCTTGTGGCTCGTAGCACGAAAACATGTCAATGACTGTCAACTTCAAGTCGTCGTCTTCAGGCAGATTGTCATCCCGATAAACCCACTTCAGGTCGTTGGCGATATTGGCTAAGCCTTTGGTGTCCAGTAGTTCCGCAGGCTTGACGTCTTCGATCTTCGAGCCATCGGGAGAAAGGTGAAGAGGCGTCTTGACCATATCGTCTGGAGAAGTTGAGATGATCTGGTCTCCGACCCAATAGATATGCTGGGGCTACTTTTAGTGATGCGTCAATGGTTGTGTATGCGAGAGCGTACCTTGCACGCGAGACCTTTTTCGTTTGCGCCACACGTACACTCAGGTCTTCGTAACTTCCCACCCATCGCCACAATGATGTCGTCGTCAAGATGGAAGAACTTCTTTGGGCTGCCATTCGGGCTATAATCATCTTCCGAGACTGCGCAGTACTTGAGCCTGATATCGCTACCTTCCAGTCCTCTTTTGGCCCGCCTTCGTAGGTCGGTGTCGAAGGCCGAGACATTGTAATGAAGGTTCTTCGTTGATATAACCAGGGAAGGCGTAGGGGAAACGGTGGACTCGACGGATGGTATGGGCTGATCTTCCTCAGAATGCCCCGATGATTGTGTACTAGCTCTTGCGGCCCTTGCGGCCCCGGCACGAGTGGTAACCATGTCCTCTCCGAGAGAGAGCTTTGAGAACTGCTCTGCTGACATGGAGAATCTTCGTTATGGGGTACTTTCATACTAAAAGTCCAGTAAGGAGCTATATATCAAACCAACTCCCCCAGCTCCACGCCACCATCTTAGTTGATCCATCGTGTAGGCAGAGCATGTCCTCCATCTCACGACGGCGCTTAACGAGTAGGCCTTCCGTGCCGTAAGGCATTCGTACGTGTGAAGCGGATGTGGCTTGCTCGGGGAGAACCGAAAGTAGGGCAGGAAATCTGTCAACGCCGCAGTACTGCCTGGCTTACTAGAGCGAGTGCGGTAGGGTGACCACGGACATTTGCCGCGATTCCGTGCACGTTGGTGTCTTTATCGCGTCAATCATCTGCTTTTGGCCAGCATAACTGTCATAATACCCACTTGTTCACGAGCATTCCTCGTTGTGCACCAATGACATTGCATCGGTAGACCGAATGCCCAGTCTGCTTGAGGCGAAGCGATGAAAGCTTTAACCCGACGCGGTTAAATTAGGGGCGGCCGACGATCAAGGAATTGCCTTCTCCAGAGAATTATCTCGTTTTGCCGCCGGACCTTAATCTCAGAAATGCCGCTAAATGGTCAAGCTCAGCTATCGCAGGCTGAGTCGCAGTGATAATGCAAGGCACGGCGTTGGCGCACCGCAGCGGAGGCGAGGCTCGTGATCCAGCTTGCAGCAGGAATGCTACTTCCCATGCAAACCCGAATCCGTGCCGACACGCTGTACACGAGAAGCTTCGCTGCCAGGGATAATTAACGTAATAGCAAGCCTGGTGAACTTGCTCAAGTCGTAGGCAGCATCGGTCCGTAGTGGTGGAGTAGCGAGAACTGACGTTACTCAGCCATGATGTACGGCGCGCGCGAACCCTGTAACTACCAGTCAATACCTGGACCTCGAACCGTTATAAGGCTGACTGGAATGAAAGGAGTAATACGCTTCGAGTTAAGCTTCTGACCGCATAAACATCTATTTCATGCGTGGCACATTCTGATGATGTCCACTTTGTTGAGGATGCCTTGGGCCGCGCATCAACGACCTAGGTAGTCAGGTAGCGCTCGAGACTGTGTTACACCGACGTAATTCACTAGCAGTAGCGACGGCTTTGGGGGCTGTGGAAATGCCTAGGTGTCGAGCGCGTGCCATCGCTGGTGGATGCATCGTATGCATCCATCATGGTTCCGAGGGTTGAGGGTCAGGTCGCGTCGCGAAGCCCGTCTGGCACCCACAGCCTCACCGTTCGCGCAGCGGGCTATGACGAGGGCGTGAACTCTGCCATGCGATCACAAGCTCCATGTCTTCAGGATGGCTTTCGGGAATATTTTTAATCGATGGGGCGCCGCTTGCATGAGCCATGGACGCGTCCATTCAGCAGTTTCGACTAACCGCCGTGCGAGTGCAAGAGACGGAACGGCCCCGGACGAGCAACAACGAAGATCTAACAGGTACGAGGTGTTGTCACAGATTGAGACAAGCCCCCAAATTCGAGCGGCGCAGTGTGTTCATGCTTGGAGTGGGTGAATGTTTGCGAGGCGTGGATATCTGCAACGGCTTCCAGCTGTTGTGTTAGGTCATGGCGTGACGGCGTGGATCCCAGGCACAACACTCGGGATCCGCGCTAGCAGCCTGGGGATCCACCACACGGGACCGACTCCGATCAGAAGTTGTTGGAAGCATCGATTGTTGCTGCCTCGCCCAAATTAACGCGATGTGTTGTGCAGATGGGGCCATCTCCGTGTGATGGAGAACATCTAGGTAGCAGGCAGGCATGGACAACAGGCTGCGATACTGTGGTAGTCGACCTCACGCGTCACCGCAACAGAAGATCGAAGCTGAAGGATTCAAGGTGCAGCAGGCCTGCAGCACGGGTTTGTTGGTATACGAGTCTAGTCACAAGCGACCTAGTCTTTTGTGCCATCAATGCAGCACAGAAGCAGCTAGACCCACTGGCGCGGGGTCCAAAGCTGACATCTGCTCAAGCACCGAGGACACGCATCACACATACCATCCACACCATCACACAGATTATCGTTACTCGATACACTGTCCGCATCTCTTCATCGAATTAGAGCTATTCACTGCAACCGAGCGGCAATCATGTCTCAGCCCACGGCACCCTCCATACCTGCATTCTATCGCATATTCTTTACATACCTCGACCCCATCATCTGCGCTTGGGGCGCAACCATGGACTTCTTCATGCCCACTGTCGTCCTCTCTTCACACATCCCCTCACCCACCCCAGACATCGGCCACGCCATGATCCTCAAGCAACGTGGCGGGGGCATGCTAAATTTCGGCATCATGTCTGCTGTCCTGCTACGATACACAAACGACATGAACATCTGGCGCATTGTCCAGTTGTCGTGCTTCGTTGTCGATCTGGCGTACTATTGGGCAGTCTGGGAGGTGTTGGCAAAGCAGGGCAGACTAAGCGTAGGCACCTGGCGGGCGGAGGATTGGGGAAGTATAGGCATTACAGCGTTTGCAGGGCTGGTCAGACTAGCATTCATGGCAAGGGTGGGATTTGGTGAAGCCTCAAGGAATGACAAAAAAGACTTGTAGGTCTTGAAGAAGAAGTCCTACTACAAGTCTCATTGTGAGCGTATGAGCGCAAAAGAGTTGTTTGGTGCGAGATCATATTTTGTTCCGCTTGTCTGCTCATCATTGCCAGTCGCGATCCGTAGTGTTGAGATCATTGCTGGGCTGTGCTCTGCGTTTACAGCTATATTACCCCAGAACCCAGCGCGAGCCACTCGGCTATGTCTTGCCAGCCGTGTGCTACACTCGGTGCTGACTCTTGAAGCCTTTGCAGCTCAGCTGCGAGCACGACTGCCTGTCTTGATCCAATCCTCAATGCAACAAAATGGAGAATGCCAATGACCCATTGCCGCATTTGATGCGAAATAAGCAGACACGTACCCACTGCATACAGTGGCTGGACGAGCTGCATTAGTCTCGGTGAGATGACTGAATCGATAAATGTCCCCGGTTCTCTCATGATAGGTCCATCTTTTGTTTCATCTTCGGGGGCCAATCCAGCAGCAGAGAACACCGGGGATGGCACCATGCCGATGGTCTGGGGTACTGCGGCAATGATTGCAGCAACGTTAGCTCGTAGCACATTCTCCTCATGCTGTATGCACGCTTTCAAACTGGCAGCGTCGTAGAGCGGGGAAGTTTGTTCCTCACGAACCCTCATCAGGTTTGCTCTGATGATATCGTGCACTTGAATTCCAATAAACCGGGTGTAATTCCACAACTGCGCCATGACGGGAAAGAGGCAGATGCTGTATGTGTTTCCACAGTAATGAACTGAAGGTACATCAAGATGAACCCTTGTTGGATGCCAGGCTGCAGGTAGAAGAGCCTTGATATCCTCTAGCTCTTGACTGAGATTTCTCGCACGGTTGATTGTTTCCACGGGATCTCGGCTCTTGTCTTGACCGAGTTTGACGACTTCGTCCATGACGTGCAGAATGCCGATCATGAATTTTTTAACAAGCTCGTTGAATCCCGATTCCAGGGGGATGCTGTCGTACAGCTCTTGCAAGTGTTCTAGATATTGGTGTGCGATGTCAGTTCGTGTATTACATGCAGTCCGCACAGGGTTGTGACTAACTTGGAATACCCGTCCCTAGTTCAAGCGTGAAGAATAGAGCGACGCCGTATGACTGCTGGAATATTCGCCGTCCGAGTTCTGTCTCGAACTGCGACTTGCCGCGTAACATGAAGAGGGTGTAAGCACCGCTGACGTGTTTTGACCACCTATCGATGGAGCTCTTATCCGTGTATACCGTGCCCTCGTACATGCCAAGTAGGATGACCGAAACCAAAGTGCTATCTTTGACCGCGGCTTCGTGCGACATGAGCGCTCTGTTTGTTTCCTCTAATGCAGAACCGTATGCGACACGCGCTTTTCGCATGACGGCAGGGGACTTCGCTGCATTGGCGAAGATTGCTAGACTTAGGGCGCGGAAGCTATCACGAAGCGTACCCTCGATATTCGGCCGTGACAGCAGCTGGGGAATCCATTCGAATTGGCCTCCTTGAGGGAAATCGGCGGCGCCTGCATAGTTGGTGAGGAAGAAGCCTTGCGCTTGGGCGTCGATATTCGGCGTGGGTTGCAAGGCCATGATCTCAGCCTTGGGCGGACTCTGCACCGGATAGATCCGCTGCACGCTTCTGATCCTGTTGGGTTCTCCACGTCCCAAAGGCGTTCTTGGTTCTTTTGATTTGGCAAGCTCTTCGTAACGTTGCTCCGCCTTCTTTGCCACGACGCGACTCTCATTCTTGAACATTAGGGAAGCCACGTCGCGGTATCCATGGCATTCTTTGCCGGCACGGAGACATTGCGAGCAGGAAGGCCGCTTCTGGTCACACTGGAACAGCGGATTAGTGGACCAAGTATCTACTCACGCGTGCATTACATACTTTGATCCTGCGGTCCCTACATGTCTTGCAACCTGGAGAAGGTCTGCCAACATTGGGCATTTCGAGAAATGATGACTAATTGCCCGGTGGTGATACGATGCAGTCCGGACCCGCACTGCTAAGTTCTCACCTACATCGATGATGGGAAGAAGGGAACGCCACGTTTGTGTTTGGGGAAAGTAAGCGAGCAGCAAGGAATGCAAGAACCGCTCCCGGGCCTATGTACCCC